ACCGAAAAGTCCTACTGTCAGTAAGTTTTTGTTTTTTTTTATTTTTCAGCCAACTGAGACCCCTTAATGTATTTTCTCGCAGGGATGAGTATACAACCAACTGAAATTGGCTAAAATTGGCCAAAAAGGCCAGTCCGAGGCAAACCGTCGCCTGAGCACGGAGGTGCCACTGCCGGAATTTCAAAATTGGCTGAAAAATATTTTTAACATCGATTTTGGATTTTTTTGAGATATTTCTAAGTACTTGAAGCGTGTTTTAATCTTCAAAGAAAAATTTAGGGAACCTGGGGACTAGCAGTATGCGCAGCTGAAAGTTTAGTATTTCAGATACCAATTCGGGTAAGAATCCCTCACTTTATGTCATGTTATGGAATTGAAATTTAATTATAAATAATACGATATTTTGTGTAATTTAGAAAAGCTCGATAATTAATTACAGGTTACTAATGAAGCCGAAACCGCTTATTTATCATTGTTTATCATGTTTTAACTGATTGATTGATTTTACAGTTTTGAATGTATTATAATACGCTGGAGTTGGTAAGATGATTTAGTTGTATTTTCTTGATGCATGTATTACTTGTTTTGCATGATTTACAGTTAAATTGTGAAATTAGAAATTAAATGTAAATGAAAAATTGTTTTATTAAGTGAATGAATGAATGGTAATCTTACTGGATATCCGGCGAGATGGTAGACGGACTATGTACATAAGGAACCCTACCGTGAATGTGTCTCATACCATATAGGGTATGTGGACGGTCCGTTTCACCCTCATACCAGATGAGGTATTGAGAGATAATATTTTTGGCGCTCATACCGGACGGGGTATGAGGACGGCCGATTAGTTGATAATGTTGAATAAGGGTTCACGCATAGTGGAGACATCCCTATGAACCCCTATGGATACCAGTAGGCAGATAAAAATGGAAAGTTATTATTCTAGTTAATTGAATATGAGATTATGATATTGTTTGTATTATTGTCTCTATATGTCAGTTTTGGAAATCTCGCTACGATAAGTATATAATAAATGATTTATTTATGATAAATGAATTTTCTTACATTAAGAGCTCTGTTAGTTGTTTTTATGATTTTTACCAACCTTTATTTCTGTATCGGTGAGTAGTGTGATATTCTTACTGGGTTAATGTAGCTCACTTTCATTAACAATTTCAAATCAAGAGAACTAAGATCCAGATCTTGATCCAAAAGAGGGTTGCGAATAGAATGTCCAGTTATTTATTTTCCATTTATTTCTTTGATTTTTTGTTGTTCTTTTAGAAGGATCATTCCCATAAACCTATTGGGTATTCTAAATTATTATGTAAGAAATTTAAATTCTAATTTTATTATTTCGCTTCCGCATTCAATTTATAAGTTATTTCCTTTTAAGCTCCGATCGTTACAAGATATTCCTTGGTATAGAGATAAAAAAAAAAAAAAAGGTAGCCAACTTCAAGCATAAAAGGAAAGGTGTAAAGAGAGAAATGAATTAAAAAAAGAAGTTCCCATTTTATAGGCCCCTCTTAGACTTGCTAAGTCTTTGACCGGTTTGAGCCAATAAAATGAGAATATGAAAGGAAAAAAAACATTTATATACCCTACTAAATACTCTAAGAGGTCCCTCAAAATATTAAATATATTGTCTATTGTTAATTTTACTTACCAATAGTCAAATCACATTGAATTATCTCATTATCCTAGCACTTCTTTAAGGGATACTAGATATTAAAGAATATTTTATCAATTTAAAAGATAGTAGTCAAGGAAAAGTTTATTAAACATGTCATTATCAATATATAAGGACATTTAGAGCAAGAC